TGTCTAATTAAATTTTGAAAATAACTAAAACACTGCAATAAGTGCTCTTTGACCTGTCCATAAACAGAGGATTAAACTCTTTCCAAATGTTTAAAGCATGTTTATAGTCATCATTCAATATAATGTAATATGTTTCTATTAATGGTAATTGTGTTTCATTGCATTAATCAAATGAGTCCATATAATCATACAGATAGTCTCCTTTACTTATTACAAGATCAAGCTTATCTTCTGGAATATTGTTCTGTATTTTTAAACTCCTCTTTATTAAGATTACTTAAGAGTTTATCTAAACTACTAGTCATGAATCTATGAATCTTAATTTTAGGTTACCAATTTTTTTACTTAGTGAAAGTTAACATTTTCTTTACTAGAAAATGTATTTCCAATAGATACTCATATCTTGACACAGTTTAGCTATCATGGCTGCATGTCTGCTTAAAGATTTACATGCCACTAGCCTTTAGTGAACTCTCACCTAATCTCATGAGATTTCTTGTGGATTGCACTATAGCATAATGTCATTAAGCAGCAAAAGCTCTTCATCAAATGGTAGGTGACACATGTCCATGTGCAATAACTACCCCTAGACATTTGCATTTGAGAAATTCAAAGATGCACCAGAAAGGTGGAGAATGAGTGGGAATGTGTGTGAAGAGGTATCTATTGTAAATCCTCAATAGCTGCAGGATTAGAGTAAATTAATCTATTGAATATTATTTTTCCTTTTTATTAGCTATATTTTTGTGTGCCATTAATACCAAGCATGGGGTGCACATATACCCAATTCGATTTTGTTACTCATTAGGATCTCTACCAATTCACCCTCAAATTGAAATTCTTTTAGGTAGGATTAGAATAGATTAATCTATGAGACATTGGGCATGGTAAAATACATCAATCAAAAGAGTTTGACGTCCTGAGTCGAAAACTGTAATTAGATCTCAAATCGGTCAAGAGATAACGGAGCTACGAGCTAAAAGTTTGTATTTGAAAAAGTCAGAGCCATTCCATGAGGCACTATGCCATGGTTAATAGTTACAGCACTATTATCTATAAGTGTGATATGTATATATATATATATTCATATTAAAGATAACATTTTTACAGCCCCAATTTTTGAAGTCTCCCTTTTTCTACATCTGTCCCTTCTGGGGATACAGGTGTTCAAACTTCCACTAATTCCAATTTTCATTACAAAGAAGTTTTATGAGGCATTTTTGAGTTCCTTATTTTGAAGAAATGAGGTACAATATCATCCTGATTCCTTTGCTTTTTTAAACTTGTTTTCTATCTTTTGATAATGCATATGATAGCCACATGATTGTTTCAATAATTAAACAGGTCTATTTCATTTCATATTGTTACGTCTCCGTTCGTTCGTTAATTAATTTT